AAAAAATATACGCGTTTTGTTTAAAATGACTCCCCGAATAAATAAATAAAATAAAATAAAATAAAATAAATATAGCCTGGTATTCTTTGGTACCCATGACATAATAATCCGTAATTAAAATTTAATTTAATTTTTTATTATTATTTATTATTATTATCATTATTAAAATTATTATTATTATTATTATTTCTTATAACGATAGAGGCGTACAAAAAAATTGTTTGTATGCGTGAGTTTGTATGCGTCGTTATGAGTGCGTGCAAATGATTCGCATTATTTACTTTTTTTTATTTTATTTTATTTTATTTTATTTTTTTTTTCATTTTCAAATTCGTTTATTAAAATTTTTTTTTTTTTTTTTTAAACCGATTTCCACCTCCTCGATTTCGCCATTTTTATTTATTTATTTATTTTTTTCAATTTATTATCATTATAATTATAAGACATTCATACAAACGATTTTGAATTCTTACATATAAAATTTAAAAAAAATTATTTAAATAAAATCGCATGGGAATGCATTATTATTATTATTATTATTATTATTATTATTATTATTATCATTAAATTACTTTGGCTTTATATGTGATGAATATTTATTTGCATGCGATTCGTTTGTCTTGTTTGTTTTGTATTCGTTTGTCGGCCTGTTTGCTATCGTTTTTTTTTCTTCATATAAATAAATAAATTTTTCGCACGTTTGATTTATTTATGTGACGTAATTTAAATTTAATTTATAAGAATTTTAACGAACGTAAGAAAGCGAAAATGTTTTAAAAAAATTTTTTTTATTTAAAATTTAATTACAATTAATGGCGACCGATTTTTGTGCAAAAAAAAAAAAAAAAAAAAATTTTTTTAACATTCGCTTTTTTACCGACGAAAAAAAAAAACAAAAAGTTTTGTTAAATAAAAATTTTGTTATTATTTTAATGAGTGATGCCAATAAAACAAAAAATGACAAAATTTTTAATTTTTAAATGTTGGTATTTTATTTAACGAAACTTTTTTTTTTTTTTTTTAAATAAAAAAACCGACAGCAAAATAGTAGTAAAATTTTTGAAATTCGAATTTTTTTTAAAAAACTATTTTGCTGTAGTTTCCTTAAAGGAACGGGGATGGGGGGAGGGGAGGGCGAGGGCGAGGGGAGAGAAAGAAAGAAAGGAGGGAGAACAACGGAAAAAAAAAAAAAAAAAAATTAATTAATTAATTTGAAACTTTTTACAGGATTTCACATTGGATTTCTACTTCAGGCAGTTTTGGACAGATCCTAGATTGGGTTTTAGAAAAAAACCCGGTGTTGAGACTCTGTCCGTCGGTTCGGACTTTATTAAAAATATTTGGGTACCGGATACGTTTTTTGTCAACGAAAAACAATCTTATTTTCACATAGCAACAACTAGTAACGAATTCATTCGAATACATCATTCAGGAAGCATAACGAGAAGTATAAGGTGAGATATCAAAAAAAAAAAAAAAAATTACGTCATTTCCATTCATTTACGTCATTTTCCCAGAAAACCCGTCAACAAAATTTTCCGAAAATTTTAAAAAAAAAAAAATCATAGAACGCATTCCAACGTAAATGTAAATAAATAGTCAGGGCAATGCGGACATTTTTTTTTTTTTTCTTTTTATCATCAGGTCGCCATCAAATTTTCATTACGGTTGTGGAAAAATTAAAAAAAAAAAAAAAAAATATTTATGAGAGCACACCGAACAAAATATCAAATTTTAAAATATCACATTCCCGCAGAAAATATCATAAAAACATTGTTAGCCATTCATATCTGACACATCTAATTTTTAAAAGGTCAACAGAAAATTTTTCTTTTTTATTTCGAGTAAAACAACAAAAAAATGTTTTAATTAAGTTTTTCCTTATTTTCCTGTTTATATCATTCATGCCGGACTACCAAAAAAAAAAAGAACAAAAAATATAAAAACTTACCTTTATAATTTTTCCCAATGACAATTCTTAAATTTACCATTTCCGATCTCGTTCCTACAATGTCAGACACATTTTCTTCACATGTGTATTAATCATCAAATTCCAATTTGTCTTCTGCTTTTTAAAACTACAAAGTATCAAATCAATTAAATAAATAAATCTATTTAAAATAAACAAGCAGGAAATTTTATTGTACACTCGCACACGTACCTTTTTCATTTTCTTTCATGCAGGTACATGAACTGATTTCTAAGTAAACAATGTAAGAAAACTATACACGTCCATTATAATCATACGAACAAATTGATCAATATTAATTTCTTTTTTAATATCATCTTGACAACTTGGTTATATTTTGTATATAAGAAACACATAGACGTCCATTGTAATCATACGAACAAATCGATCAATATTAATTTTATTTTTAATATCATCTTGACAACTTGGTTGTAGTTTGTATGTAAGAAACTCATAGACGTCCTTAATAAGCATACGAACAAATCGATCAATATTAATTTCTTTTCTTTAATACCATCGTGAAAACTCGGATGTATGTTGTATGTAAGAAACTGATGCACGTTCTTTGTAAGCATACGAACATGTAGTTCAATATAAATTTCCTTTTTAATACCATCGTGGCAACTCGTTTATATTATTGCGAATGTTAAAATGAATTATTCTGAAAAATAAAAATTTTATTACGTTAATTGATTTTTTTTTTTTTTTTTTTTTTTTTGGTTTTCGTTTTTGAAAATTGGTTAAGTTTATTTATTTATTTATTTATTTATTTTTATTTTTTTTTTTTTAAACAGATTGACAATTACAGCATCGTGTCCAATGAATTTGCAATATTTCCCTATGGACAGACAATTGTGTCACATCGAGATTGAAAGTTGTAAGTATATTAAATTGACATTTTCATTTTGTTTTTCACATTTTCTCTAATTTATAAAATCCCAAACAAAGTTAATCAACGACAATAGAGGCACAGTAAATGTTTTATAATTTACATACGAAACTTAACACACTTCATTAAGAATTTAATAATAAAACATAATGAAATTTTTTTTTTTTTTTCCACTATGACGATGACGAGGGTTTTTATCAATTTTTCTCTTCCTTCCTTCCTTCCTTTTTTCCTTCCTTACTTCCTTTCTTTCTTTCATTTTTTTTTCTTCTTCTTTTTCTCATCATTATAACTTTAATAAAAACGAAAACGACGACGACGACGATTATTAAAAATAATATTATAATAATACTAAAAAAAAAAATTGAATAAAAATTCGCCCACGGTTCGTTTAATAGGGTTTTTTTTTTGCTCTATTAAAAAATAAAAAAAAAAATATGGAAGGATAAAAAATAATATGTAAGAATTAACGAGGAGAAAGGAAAAAACGAGGTTACGTGGAACCAATCAAAAATAATAATAATAATAATAATATGGCATCTAATAAAAAAAAAAATAAATTGAAATATAAACAAGATTATTGTGACGTATAATCGCTTTGCTTTTCTAAAAAAAAAAAAAAAACGTTTTCCATTTTTATTATTATTATTTTTTTTTTGCCAGTCAATTAAAAAATTTTTAACTTAACCCCCCGAAAGTTCTAGAACAAAAAAAAAAAAACAGAAAAACATTACTGGCCTCTATTTATAAACATTTTAAAAATTCGTAAAATAATTTTTTTTTTCTTTTTCTTGCAAATAAATATAAATTTAACAAAAAAAAAAAAAAACTCTAATAAAATTTTGCTTTTTTTTTTTTGCTCATTAACAGTTCCTATATTATTTGTTTACAGTTTGATCATGTTTGTTTTGATTACAGAGTACACGTGTACTCAAAACGAACTGTAAATAAATAATTTATGACGTCACTTTAATTTCTCACATATTTTTATTTTTTCGTTATTTTTTTAATTAAAAAAAAAAAAAAGAAAGGTTTTTTTTTTTTTTTTGAAAATATATATAATTTTATGCTGCTTAAAAAGCTCTCAACTTTCTGTTGGCTAGGTTTAGATTCGGTCTCTTCTCGAAGAAGCACTGAGCGGCGTGCCCGAGGGGGACTGGCAGTGGGCAGTCTCACGTTTCTCATACGAATATTATGAACACGGATCGTTGCGAATTTTCCAAAAGTAATTTAAAAAAAAAAAAAAACAATTAACGTTGTTTAAAAATGCCCGATTAATGATTAAAAAAAATCGTTAAAACATGTACCCCCCCCCCCATAATATATACTTTCGATTAAGAGGAAGATTCGCCCTGGGTGGTGTTCATGATGATTATATTTATATAAAAAAAAAAAAAAAAAAAAAAAAAAATGGAACAAGGATGGCTGCACTTAAACAACAAAGAATAAATCAAAGTAAAAAAAAAAAAAAAAAAATTAAAATCAAGAACCACATGACAAAAATTATACTTAAAGTCTGTGGAAAGCACACGACGCACTCTTTTAGTCAATTTTTTTTTTTTTTTAAAAATGATTGATTGATTGATTGATTGATCATGATAAAACGTAAAACAATGAAAAGCTTGCGAATATATATAGTAAAAGAAACAGACTGACAAACCTTCTTTTAATGAGTCTGTATAAAACTTATATATATATATATATTTTTTTTTATTTATTTATTTATATTATTTATTTTTTATTATTTACGATATTTAAAAAAATCAAAGCCTGCTTTCGTAATTTCTTCTTTCTTTTATTATTATTATTATTATTATGCTAAATTAATAAACAATTAAATTTAATTTAACATTTAAAAAAAAAATTGCTGGCTTATACACCATTTATATTATATAAAAAAAAAAAATTTTTTTTTCGCTTTTTAATTTTCTTTTTATTATTATTATTATTATTTGATTTTTAGCTGTAACATAAATCTCTTTAGATTATATAACTGTGATATATAAAAACTTTTTTTTTAAATCAAATGCATAAGACCTTTTTTTTAAATTTTCTACAATTTCAAAAAATATACGTATACATATACACACACAGACACACACTCGTAGATAAGAATTTTTAATATGCGGGGAGGGGGGGGGAAAGAAATGATAATAATATTTAAAGTGTTAAACGTTTTTTAAATTAATAGGAATTTCTATTTAGTAACAATTTCCCTTATTATAATTAGAATTCTTCACTTAATTTTCTCGATGAAAGATCTTTTCTGTTATGAATGAGAAAATGAAACTTTTAAAATTAAATTTAAATTATTTGTCAGTTAATAAATTATAAGAAATTTATATAAAGCTTTCTCCCGTTTTTAAGTTTTCCCTTTATCTCTCTCTCTCTCTCTCTCTCTCACTTTATTTTCTTCTTTAAGTGGTTAATTCTCTTTATCAGTAAAATCATACTACAATAATAATAATAATAATTGAAATTATTTTAAAGATTTTAAATCGTATGTGAGAGGTGAATTTAATTTCCCACCCAAACATAATGCAAACAAACACAAAACATATTTACTCTCTTTCTGCTATTTTTCATGTTAATCACTCGTAGATCCCCGTCAATAAATAATAATTATTATTATTATTAGTTAATGTTTTTCATGAGAGAAGCATTTTTAAAACAAAAACAAAACCGTTTATAATTTTCATATTGGTCTAATGCAGTAATAATTTGTTAATAATAATGCATTGTGCATGAAAAATAAAGGGAATTTATGTTGATTATACGATTACTCTTAAAGGCGCATGTATTTCTTCTTTATTTTCTATCTATCTATCTATCTATCTATCTATCTATCTATCTATCTATCTATTTATCTATATATGGCTTCCTGATGTTAATTAATTTTATAATATAATAACTGAGAGCAGCAATTATCTCGAATTACACGAACACACACACACACACACACACACACATACAGAC